ATATTAATTATAATATTTGTAATAATCTCTTCCAAAATTTAAATACATTACCATAATAATCACACAAAATAATGAAAGAAAAATTATCAGAATAATTACCTTTAATAAAAATAAGGTAATTATATTAAAAATTAATTATATATTAAGGTAAGTATAATTTATTTCATGCCAATAATATTATACATTAAGTATAAAAATATATATGTATATAAATTACCATAATAATTACACCAAAAAATGTAACAATATATAATTATTAGGTAATAATATTAATAATTAATTATTAAGGTAAGTATAATTTATTAAAGAGGAGATATAATTTAAAAAGTAAATTATTTATTAGATTGCCTAATATAATTGTCTTACTAATTGATTCCATGCTACTATGTATAATTCATATATTTGAAAACTTTTTAAATCGAGATATCTATTAATTGCCTTAATAATTAAAATAATTGTTAGTCAATCAATATTCAATAGTACTAAAAGTATTATTTGAATTTTTATACATAAGATATAATATTATTAAATCGAAATAATTAAAAATAATGTGTCCATATTACAAAAGATTTTATAATAGTAATTTTTATTGCATAATAGAATTTGGAAATTATTAAACATTGTTTATGGTAATTATTGTATGACATTTAATACTAAAATTATTAGGTAGAATTCTTATAATTAAGTATAATATTCTTAAGGTACAATATTGCTTATATATGGTTTACCCGTATTAACCATCACTATATTAAATTAATATATAATTCTTTTAATATAATATATTATTAAATCTAAACATATGACTAATATTTATTCAATATTATTACAGAAGTATTACAATTATAAATTTTACTCCGTATTAAATTTTAAATGGCTTAGCATATTGAAGCAAACATGGTAACTCAATAACATTATTTTACATTAGTAAAGTGATTTTATATCAAGGAATGTCAGATGAAGAATAAAATCAAAGTAATACTCTATTGAAAAAAAGCCACAGTACTTAATCATTTTTTTCCTTAAAAAAAAAATTAAATGGCAAGAAAAACGTCTTGAAGGGAGAGACAAACTACTCTCTTATTACAAAAAATGTACACTTTAAAACGGAGAAATTGAATTGAAACAAACTCCAACGCTTTTATATATTGACAACTAAAAAATGCTTTTAATTTCATTTTGGTTTTTATTGTATTTCTTAGTATGCTTCCCTCTGTAAGTCTATACCTATTTACATATACACATAATTCGTCCCTCGATCACAAAACTTTATCATCTTGATGAGCAAGGAACTCTATTGCTTCCCGATCCATCTTTCTAGATCCGTATCTTCTCCACAAAAATAGACAAACAAACAAAAAAAAAATATCAACATTTTTTCTTATGAACCACTTTTGTTGTTTAAAACCATAAAATACAAAAAAAAAAAATAAAAACAAAACAAAACCCAAAAAGAAGAAAAAATAAAAGAAACTAAGATGATGAAAACCTCACCAATGCAAATCACGTATCAACCTCAACTGTGGAAGATCACAGGATGATTAGAAGTCTATTGCTTCCCGATCAATCTTTCTAGATCCGTATCTTCTCAACAAAAATAGACCAAAAAAAAAGAATATATCAACATTTTTTCTTACCAACCACTTTTGTTGTTTAAAAATCAGAAAATACAAAAAAAAAACAAAAAAAAAAAACAAAAAACAAAAAACAAAAAAAAAAACAAAAAACAAAAAACAAAACAAAACCCAAAAAGAAGAAAAAATAAAAGAAACTAAGATAATGAAAACCTCACCCGTGCAAATCACGTATCAACCTCAACTGTGGAAGATCACAGGATGATTAGCAAAAATTAATGAAATAATTAACCTTAGTTGGGGTTGTGTATGGTCATATAAGGTGTATTTATACACAATGGATGAGATCAAAAGGGTTTAGTATTGAAATTATAAAATGGTAAGAGATCTCAAGAAAGGTAAAATCTTTAATATTATTGAAATGCCATATTTGTCTAAATATTTGATATTACAAAAATGCCACTAAGTTTTGGGGGGAAAACTGCTAGGAGGATTTTACTTTTATATATATATAGATATAGATAGATAGATTATTATTATTATTATTATTATTATTTATTTATTTATTTATTTATTTAATTTCCATTTGACATTTACTTACCAAATAAGTTTTACTACAAAAGTTTTAGGGGGAAAATTTGTTAGGAGGATTTTATTTATTTATTTTCCATTTGACATTTACTTACCAAATAAGTTTTACTACAAAAGTTTTGGGGGGAAAATTTGTTAGGAGGATTTTACTTTTATATATATATATATATATATATATATATATATATATATATATATATATATATATATATATATATATATATATATATATATATATATATATATATAGATTTTATGCTCTAATTTTTATTTGCTCTCCCTTATGTCCCGTATTTGGTTTCAACCATACCTATACAATTATTTTATTGACAATTATAATCAATTTTGACTATATTATCTTGCATTTGTAAACTTAGAATTACCTATTTAAATACGCAAATTCAACATTCAATTATCTATGCATGAACAATTCCAATATAATCTTGCTTGAATGTACTTTAAAGTACTTATTTTAAAAAAAAACATTGGGCATTATCCCAATCGCACGTAAAAACTAGTATATATATAATTATCATATTTGAAAGAGGGAGAGAGGGGGGGGGGGGGGGGGGGGGGGGGGGGGGGGGGGAGAGAGAGACTATGCTAATACCCACATATATTTGTATATATACATAAATAATATATAATCACTGCTGGAAAATAGCCATTTTCCGACCACCCGAAAAATGGTCGCAAAAATTGATTTTTTTCCATTTTTCGACGAAGTGGTAGAGTGGTCAGAAAGTCGTCGGAATTTCGACCACCCTTAGATGGTGTTCGGAAATACCCACCACAAATTGTCGGAAAGTTTTTCCGATAAGTCTAAATTTTTTAAACTATTCTTTTTCCAACCACCTTGGTGGTTGGTATTTCCGACCACCAAGTAAGGGTGGTCGGAACTACTCTTTTTTTTTTTTTTTTTTTTTGGTGATTCAATAGTATGAAGGTCACATGATTTATCTTTTTATCATTGATTATTTCACTCATACTCTTATTTTTACTAGTAGATACCATTTCACCATTCTTGTTATGAAAAAATAAAAGAGTTAATTTTAATTTGGATAATTTAGACACTTGACTTTCTAATTCTTTCCAATGTTGGTCCTTCTGTCAGATGAAAGTTAAGTGGACGTTAATTTGAGGGGTAATAGCGTCATTTCAAGTACTGAGTGTATATCCCGTCGTCATTCTCCCTTGTACACGCGACGAACATTCATCGCCGCCTCTTGAGCCTTGGGCCTCCGTTGGGATCGACTTCGACGTCCAGAATACCGGGGACTTTCTGCCTCAGATCCTTGGAGAGCTTCGTGATTTCCACCAGTCCTCTCGATCGGAAGCAGAACGGTTGCGATTCGGTGGTTACTCTGATCGATAGCTGGTGCTTTAGCCGGAGGAAGTCGTCAGGATCCATTAACAGGTGGAGGTTTTCGCTTGCGGCATTTTCGAAGGATTTTGATTTTCAATTGGTGAGTAATGTAGAGAGTTTGATTCTCGAAATTTTACGGATTCATGCTCTCGGCGGGAGATTTCTTCCGGGAATGAAGCTTCGAGGGCTTGACAACATGCTAACTGATTCCAGCGACGGTAAGCCTCTGCCACGTCCAGTTCAAATTGTTGTCGCATCCCTCTTCAACACGAGAAGCAGCAGATCGGCGGCGAGCTGTGGCGACGGCGGTGAAGCAGCAATTTCCTCTTGGCCTTGAACCTCTGCCTTTCTCCTCAACCAGCAACGATGGCGGTAGGCGACGTTGGTGGAGCCGTGGAGGGCGAGCTAGATAAGTTCAGATCTTCTGGCGGTGGTTCCTCTCCTCTCCCCCTCCTAGGCGCTATGCGCAACCTTGCTACATCGACAATGTATATTATTCCATAATAATGCAAAATAATTAATAATTATATTCTATTATAATTAGTCAAAGTTATTAATTTCATAATTTGTATACATTACACTTATATAATTACTAGTATTTTCTATGCGCGATGCGCAGAAATAGTTGCCCAATATTAGTCTTTATATTAAAAAATTTAATAAATTTAATATTTATAATTTAGGAATTAACAAACATATAACTCCAGTATATAATATATAATATATAATGTGTATAAATTATTATTATTGAAGAAGATAAGGAAATATATGGTGGATGTATGTGCATGATAATAATAGTGGAAAAATAACGGAAGTTATAACCGTAGGTGTATGTTTGTCTGCAATATTGTATAGTACAACTTTTACAGTATAATAAATAAACAAACGTAATGAAAAAATGAACATAAATAAATGGTATAATAATCATTTACACTTATTATGTTTTTAGATATTAAACTATACATTTAAACAATTTATATAATTTGGACAAAATAATAATAATAATAATAATAATAATAATAATAATAATAATAATAAATGGGCGCCATATCCAAATTTTTGCCCCAAAATTTCACTAAGTGGCGTTTCGCGGTTTCTCCCTTATCCCTCCTGCCGCCTCCCTCCTCCCTCCTCCAGTAGAACAAATCTGCTAAACCCAACAAGTGTGAACAGCTCCCACATCTGACATCTCTCTCACCCAAACCCATCCTCATTTGCTCAAACCCATTTTCACGTCTCACAACTTCACCATTTTCACCGTCTCACCATCAAGCCGCCAAGAACGGATGGAGAAACAGATCCGCCACCATCGCTCGTCGCCGGTGGAAAAACAGATCTGCCACCATCGCTCGTCGCCGGTGTAGAAACATATCTGCTAGATCATTATCCCAGGTCAGATGGTGGTGTTTATTAACAGTTTAGGTTATATATTTTGTTGTGAGTTTGGTAGAGAAGTATCTGAGAAATTGAACCCTAGAATTCCGTAGAGAAGTATTTGAGAAATTGCTTCAATCACACAAATAAGTGTAATTTTATTGTTTCTAAGATTAGAATAATTTTATTATTGAGCAGTGTTAAATTTGTGGGGCAAGAGTTATGGCAGAAAGAAGATAATGGAGTGACTGGGATTCTCCTTGTTCAGGATTCTGCAGAGGCTAGTATTGCGGATCATGCTTTGTCTCCAGGTGATTTCCTATGAGTTTCACTTGTTTATCTGTTACCTTAGTTCATTCATGCTTTGTCTCCAGGTGATTTCCTATGGGTTTCACTTGTTTATCTGTTACTTTAGTTCATTCTTTGATTACAATATTATATGCAATTGTTATAGGTACGGGAACTGATTCTATAGAGTGTACCTTGAAAAATGAAGCTAGCATATCAGATTTTAACAAACATGATGAAAAAAGTCTGCAGCAAGTTCACTGGCATAAGTGGTAAATCTGTCATATATCCTCTTGAGTTTGAAGTGTTGAGGATTTATAATTTAATGTAATGTCAGTTTTTTTGTATTTAGAAATTGAACTGGTCAAAGTTATGTGTTATGCAATGTCTTATTTTAAATTTTTAATGCAGGGGAGTTGCTGCTCAAGCTCTATATCTCTCAAGAGGAGTAGAGAGACCAAGTGGGAGAGTGACTTACACAGTTTTGCTATAAGGACTTTGTAAATTCCGTGTACATGAGATGAGTACCAGAGGGACTTATTGCACAACACAAATTACTTCTCTTGAGTTGACTAAAGCTGGTAAAGCTTCTGCTGTTTCCTTATGTATATACGTAGGTGATATCTATTTCTGTGGCTACAACGACAATTAGGTTTGAAATTTGATGCATTTCTATCCTAAGTTATCAGTTCTTAAACATGCAACTTTGTTTGCAGGTTCAGTAAATCACTAAATCTTGTTAGATTTACTGATTTTCAATGAACTAGTCCAAGTTGTGAAATATTAGGTTCAACTAGTTCTAGAGCATAGAAGAATGATTGATGTAGATCAATTAAATCCAGTGGGGTATTACTTACTTTTAAGATAGTAGAAACAATTAGGAGAATAGGACGCCCAATATAACATCTTCAGTGTTTAATGAGAAGACATTGATTGTTTTACTGGCCAAGTTGTCACTTGTTTACTAGTGGAAGTGCTAGGATATCTTAGAGTCTGTTTGGAAACCCGGAAAATGACTTCTGAAAAATGAGTCATTTTCCAAAAGTCATTTTCCTTTCCTGTGTTTGGCTGCACAATGAAAAACTGTCTTTTGGTGTTTGGTTCATTTTCCAGAAAATGATGAAAAATTGTTTTTGGTGTTTGGTTCATTTTCCAGAAAATGAACAAAATGGCATACTAAAACATTTTAATTATTATATACTGAATATGACAATTTGAAATCACAATTACATGTTAGAAACAACATAAATGCATAAATAATCAAGTCTTGAAAATTAAAATTCACAAATTAAGCAAAAACATTTTATTATATAATCAGTACAAAAAAAAAAAAAAATAACAGCAACATGATTTGACATAAAAAATCAAAAAAAAAAAATTGCATCTGGTTTCGGAACTGGTTTTCCGCATCGGAAACCAGATCTGGTTTTCGATGTAGAAAACCAATTCACTGGTTTTCGATCGGAGACCAGTCTGCACTGGTTTCCGGTCGGAAACCAGTGAGACTGGTTTCCGATCGGAAACCAGTGAGTCACTGGTTTTCAATCGGAAACCAGTGACTGCACTGGTTTCCCCAGCTGGAAACCAAACTGGTTTCCGGCTGGGGAAACCAGTGAAGAAGGTTGAAGAAAAAAAAATCGAAAAGGGGAAGTCATTTTTTGGGAGAAGAAGGTTTGAGCGTGTGTTGATTGGAAGATGGAAAATGACTTCCGCCAAAAAAAAGGGGAAGTCATTTTCCGGATTTTAGCCTTCATTTTCCATTGACTAATAAGCATTTTCCTTTGACCATTTTATTTTCAGCCTTCCCAAACACCAAAAACCCGGAAAATGATTTCCAGAAGTCATTTTCCGGGTTTCCAAACAGACCCTTAAAATAGATTACATGAGCTAAATGTGTATATCTTCTTTACTCTTAAATTTCTGTTGCACAGTTTTAATTATATTATGTAATCGTGAATTGAAGTTTGCTTTTTGTGTGTAAGAACAGATTATGAACTCTTAATAATAGGAGGGAGGGTACAGATTGCACTAACACAATTATTTTCTTCATTTTACACCTGTGCATATTTATTAGGGGTATATTTACTATCTACTTGTATCCTATACTCTTGATGTTAATGATAATACCAATATTAGTTCATAATACTCTTTTGTCACTTTCATCAAGATGTGAGTTACTAGTGTTTTTCTGTTCTTAATCAGAGATGGAGCAAGTTGAGCAAGACCAGGAATTCATTGTCTTGTCATGTCAATTCAAAGCTACTGCAATGGAGCTTTTCTCTATTCTTGAGCAGGTTAAAATTCAGGCTTATCATTAATTATTTTGTTCTCAATGAATTTATGGTTAACAAGTCTTATAATTTATAATGGAAGTAAAAAAAGACAGACAAAATGTGGTAAATTTAAGATATTATTATTCAGTAAAATGGAAAAAAGGTCTTATTTCAGTCTTAATGACTTGCATTATCTTGATTGTGATGGCTTCTTCTATAATGAATTGTGAGAGAAAGATGTTATTGTATTTAATTAGTCTAATGAGTTCTCTCTACTTTTTTAAGAATGCAGAGATGAAGCAGCTTGTGGATGTCAAATGCAGCTCTTTTTATGTTCAAATGCAATTGATGAAAAGCAGTTGTGGATATTAAATGTTTTTTTAAAAAAATTTTATTAGGTATTTTAGTGGTCGGACAAAAACTTTTTAAAAAAAATTGTGGCATTTTCCGACCACCAGTGGTCGGAAATTACGCAACTCAGAACTTTCTCTCCCTGACCAAAATTTTCGACCACATTGTAATTGTGGACGCTACTTCCGACCACCACATGAGGTGGTCGGAATTAGCGACAAAGGTTTTTCCAAATACCCATGAGGTGGTCGGAATTAGCGACAAAGGTTTTTCCAAATACCCAAAATGATCGGAAAGGTGGTCGGAACAGGAGTTTTCGACCGATAATCGTCGATTTCTGACCTTAGGGTTGAGGTTCAACCTTTTGGAAGAATGTATTATATACACAATTTAACATTCAATTCATAGATATTTAATTCAAATATAATCTATAGTTAAATTAAATGTTATTTGATAATCTTAATAAAATTATAATGGAAGAAGAAAAAGATATGATGGATGTATGTGTATAGTAATAGTGATGAAGTTATTAAATGTAAAAATAGTTTATTCTAACAAAAATACAATAAGGATAATTTTGCCTAATAAAATGAAATGCACAACATTTAAAATAAAATGTATACATCTATTAGCAATTTAGCGCGCGTACACACACAAAAACAAAAAAAAGAAAAAAAAAAAAAACAAAAAAAAAAAAAAAAATCAATGGCGTAACCTGGATTGCCACATTTTATATTTTTAGATTTAGATATGGTTGTTTGTTTTACTTACCTACATGAATATGATCAATTATAGTTGGCTAAAGTGTCATCCCACACCATGAACCATTCCTAATTATTCGTGCCGCACCATGAACTTTAATAAGTGACATTTAGAGCCATATATATATATATATATATATATATATATATATATATATATATATATATTGGTCTAGAATATTTTACAGGTTTCCTACAGGTTACCGGTAATAATATTGCTGACATAAAAATTTTTATTAGTTTTTTTTTTGGTATTTTTCTACTTTCGCCTTCGTATTATAATTTGTTTCGTATTTTTCTTTTTTTCTAAATGTATAGGCATGCTCTGCGTTTTTCGCTTCTCGTTTCTCCAATCAGATCAGGCCTGCTCTGTATAGGCCTGCTCTGCGGAGTTTGGTATCAGAGAAACGAGAAGCAAAAAACGCAGAGCACGCCTATACGTTTAGGAAAAAAGAAAAATACGAAAAAAATTATAATACGAAGGCGAAAGAAGAAAAATACCAAAAAAAAAAACTAATAAAAAATTTCATGTCAGCAATATTATTACCGGTAACCTGTAAGAAAATTGTAAAAAGTTCTAGAGGAAAAAAAAATTATAGTTTATGGCTCTAAATATCACTTATTAAAGATCATGATACGAAATGAATAATCAGGAATGGTTCATGGTGTGGGATCACACTTTAGCCATTATAGTTTCATTATAACGTTATGGCCAGAAATCAATGCAAGGTGAAATGGATTAATAACACTTACAATAATGATAGGTAACAATTTTATTTAATTCGGTACACGAAATATGACAATATACACGTTTTTTATTTATTAAAGAGAGAGAAAGAGAACATAAATTAGGACATAACATGCATTTACACATATAGGTTTGAAACTCGCCAACGACAATGTATGAATTACGCTTAAAGTGGATAAATTCCTAGCTTGTAAGCACCGTTATTTGGCACTATCTGCTAAGCCATTAAGTTACCGTGATATACATCATCCCAAATGCTCTTTTGAGTCAGGGTGCGAAGGACCCTAAGGTGGGGATTCAATATTTTGGAAAAATGTTTTTAGATATTAATATTAATGAATTTAATATTTAGTGCTTAATATTAAATAGTACGAAGTAATAATTACTTGATCTAAAAAAAATCTTCATTAACCTATGGTCCTTTTGGAAACACAAAAAATATTTCTAGAAAATGATATATTTTTTGAAATATATTTTCACTTTCTTGCGTTTTGCTTAAAGTAAAAAAAAAAAAAATGATCATTTTCTGTTTGACTGAAAACTAAAAAATTGTATTTTTTTCCAATATTTGATTCATTTTTTAAACATGAACATATATCTATTAAAAATTATTTTTTATAAAATATTAATTATTTTATTGTTGATAATAATTAGTATTTATATTGAAATAAAATTATAAAAAGAAGTTGCAATAGTTATAATGATTAATAATAATAATAATAATTATTGTTATTATTATTATTACTATTATTATTATAAAAATGTAAATAAAATAGTTTTTAACTTGTAACATACTAATAATAATAATAATAATAATAATTATTATTATTATTATTATTATAAATTATAAATTTATAATATGATAAATATAATAATCATGAACGAAATAAATCGAAGAAATGTTCTTTTAGTTGTGGGTGGGTCCGATCATACCTAGGGATGACAATTCTATCCGCACCTAATGGGTTCCCCGCATTTCCGTCGCTATGAGTTTTAAGATACACGCATAATTTGGATAATGGGTGCAGGTATGGGTGCGGATGCGGGGAGGTATTCCCGTCCCGCACCCGCACTTATATATATTGTTATTAGTATTCATTTATTATATAAGTTTATGTATATTTTATAATTAAAAATGCATAATGAATTAAAGTTATTTGTTTTTTTGTTTATGAAATTTGAATAGGAACAACACAAATAACATAATGAGTAAACACTTAATACAATTTATACTACCAACACAATTTTAGTTCCAATTAAGGACTAACTTCATTGACTCTTATTAAATTTTAGAGTTATGTTCAAAGTTATAAAAAAAAATTTATGTGATAATTAGAATTGTAGTATAAAATTATTATTATATTTAAGTGTAATATTAATAATTAGAGTTGCGAGTTGGGTATTACCCGCACCGACAAAATTCCCGCGGAGCGAGTATGAAGTAGGAATTTCATTACCCGTGCGGGTGCGGGTGCGGGTGCAAATGCAGGTGTGAGAAGTGGGTTTGGAATGCAGGTGCGGGGGCACTGGGGCAGGGGATATATCCCCCGCCCCCACCCCGCCCCATTACCATTCCTAGACTTATACCAAGACTTTTATTGTGTTAGTTTGGCCTAGTCAAACTCATATTCCGTATTTAAAAAAAAAAAAAATTAATAAAAACAATGACTCTTAACTAATGAAATTGAAGGACAAAACTTAAATTTTTTATGTTGTACGTTGGGCCACATTTTTTATTATTTGGTTCGGTTTAGCTCAATCCATATTTTAATCGGTCATTGGTAAATGTAATAAATCTCAATCGTTATGTTGTGCATCCGTATGCTCCATGCATGGTGCATACGGATGCCAAAACGACGTCGTTTTATTAAAAAACGCGCGTCTCCCTTTTAAAAAAAATTCAGGTTCGATTCCCAGCAACAACATTATATTGTTCATTCATTCTGGAATTATAGTTCATAGATTATGGAATTATAGTTCATTGATTATGGAATTATAGTTCATCGATTATGGAATTGTAGTTCATAGATTATGGAATTTTAGTTCATTCATTCTGGAATTTTTAGTTCATAGATTAGATTATGGAATTATAGTTCATCGATTATGGAATTATAGTTCATCTATTATGGAATTTTAGTTCATATGTTGTTGCTGGGAATCGAACCTGATTTTTTTTTTTTAAGGGGAGACGCGCGTTTTATTAAAACGACGTCGTTTCTGCATCCGTATGCACCATGCAAGGTGCATACGGATGCACAGCATAATTTGCCAATAAATCTGAGCTAAAAAAATTGAACAAAAGTTATTTTTTAACGTTTTGGGTTCTAGGCCGAGTCGAGCTAAGTTGTTTTTATTGATTACCCCAGTCCCATCAAATCCATATTGTAACAGCACAATTCAATTTAAATAAGGAAAATACTTGGTGTACTCCCATTTTATACTCCCAACTTGTACTCCCTCTCACATGTTCTTGATGTAGACATTTTTTTGTGGACCCACATGTTGAAAATAACCAATCCTAACTTGCCTCATTAGGGAGTACAAATGAGAGAGTAGAATTTAGGAGTTCATGTAGTAGAACTCTTTAAATAATAACCATACATATGATGGCTCAACTTGTGATTTGACACCACTAAAAGGAAGAGAAAAAGAGAGAAATAAACGTGTGATAAGAATCTATAAAATGTTTTCAATATAAATCATTTTTTCTTATTTTCAAAAAAAAAAAAAAAACTCATTTTTTCTTTGATTGAAATGAGTATTTTTCATTGATAATTAAACACTAAAAAAATTCAAAAATAACTTATAAAAGTCATTTTTCAAGTTTTCAAAAAGACCCTATTCTCTTGTCAAAAGTTCACAAATTTTCAGATTTTGAGAACTTCAATAAAGAATAGTTGGTTGCCATAAAAATAAAGGGTGTTGCTCTTTGTACCACCCCTAGTGAAAGGTGGAAATTTTTAAAAATACATAGGTGGTGTAAATAACAATAAGGGTGTAAATATAGTTATTAACACCAAACTGATCAAATGTAGTTTACGAGATTCCATAATAATTTTAAAAGATTTAATTGTACCATTAATAAAATTTTAATTAAAATTTAAAATTTAATATATATATATATATATATATATATATATATATATATATATATATATATATATATATATATATATATATATATATATAGGTGCACTTGTAGGTGAACGTAGGTGCACCCGATCAATGAATGCAGACAAAAATTACATGCATTTGCAGGCGAAAGTAGGTGCACTTGTAGGTGAAAGTAGGTGCACCCGATCAATGAATGCTGACACGTGGCGCGCACTGATTGGTTCGCATTTTTCTCATGGGCACTTATTCGCACATGACCGATATATATATATATATATATAACACCCTCGCATTCTCCGGTAATTGCCGCATGTTGGAAAAAAATAGCTTGCATGTTAAGTGGCTATTTTGTGGTACAATTATCAGTGGGGTCCATTTTCGATTTGGGTCGGGTCAAAGTGAATTCGGATTCTTCATAGTGAGACGAAGAGATTGATATATTGTACGCTCAAAACGGAGAATTGGTGAATGAGATATTGATTCTCAAAGTAGAACCATTGAGTTGGAAAATTGAAGGGAAAAAGTGAGCTTTTGTCCCACATTGGTTTGGAAAAAGGATTCCCCCCCCCCCCCCCCCCCCCCCTTTATACAAGAGCTCTTTTGGAGCTTGTAGAATTGTATAGCATAGAGGCTCTCTCGCGGGGGAGGGGGGGGGGGGGTGCAAATCAAATTCCAACTAGAAACCAGATCGAAAGGCTTAATTCAAGCCCGAGTTCGTGTGTGCCGGCACCTGCGGGCATGAATGTCATCCTGAAATTGGTAGGCCTTGCGGGCTAAGTTAT